AATGGTTTGTGTAGTTATTGCTGATGTTAAATAGAGCAGGGATGCTCTCTCGCTGCCTGAAAGATTTTCAGTGAGAGTCAGACACAGCCCACTGACGAGAGCACAGGAGGAAAAGGAAACCGAACCTGTCACCCTCAAAGGGACTCTCAGCCATATCGGTGTGACGGGGAGGCCACACGAAGACTGAGCGGGCTCTTCAGCAGGTACCAGTGACCAGACTTGCCTCAATTTTACTGCTGATTTCTGACAGTGGAAGATCTGGCCTTGAGAAGGAGAAGGGGAAAAAAAAAAATAGACAAGAGCACGGCTGCACTGCTTCTGCAATTGCAGCTCAAAACAATCCCCCGTTGTGGCTTTCTGAGGGGAAAAACCACCACTGGAAATGTTGCTGTGAGCGACAGATAAGAGGAGGGTACACAGCAGAGATAATTCTATCAGCAGATGGGAGTGGAGCTTGCCACCCCACCCCGTAACGATAGTATCTGCTCTGAATGGATTTGTCATTGTCACAGCTTCTGGTTTCAGGCTGAAGTGGGTATTTCCAAGTAGAAGCTCAGTGTTACAAACCAGACTGAGCAATCAGCTGCATACTCTGAGGGGAAAACAGAAAGAGTTCTTCCCCCTGCATTCTTCAGTCCGTCCCCTACCAAAGTCACAAAAAGCCTCGGCCTCCCCCCGCGAGCTGCATGTCACCGCCCAGGTATTTTTACAGGGCTGTCAGGCTGCTCTGCAACTTGTGATGAAGATAAATGAAAAGTAAAATTGTTGGATAGGCCTGACTCTAAACCTAACGACCGCACGCATAAAAGCACGGCTGCGTGGTTTTCATCTGCTGAGTAGCCGCGCCCCAAGAGGCAGGCGGCGGCCGCTTCAAGACGTGCCCCTATTATGCAGGATTTGAACTGGAATCAAGGCCACCTCTGTTTTCCACTTAGTGAAACCCAAATCACAGCCCGGATTGAAAGCAAGAATACCCACAGACCTGTGGGCAGCAGGGTCTGCTGAGCCCCTGCCCATCTGCACCTTGGGGTGCATCCCCTAGGAGCTGGAAGCCTTCATTACAAAACAGTCCAACTCAGATGAGGTTTGCTCATGGCAGACTGCCACTGGATGCCGTCCTGCTCCATACAGGACCTTCCTGTGCTCCCAGCCCTGCAGCTGCCGCTGCTGGGAGCTTTGCCTGACCAACGTTGGAGTATTTGGCTCAGTCAGGTCAATCTCATCCATCAGGCAGGCTCCAGCAAAGCCTGGAGCTGCAGCCCGAAGGGCTTGCTTCATCGCAGGCAAGCCGGGCTTGTGTACCCAAGCGTAGCTCTCCGTAGCAAGCCTGCCGACTTGGACAAGACAGTTAACAATACAAAAGCAGAGCAAGAGGCCAAACGGTGCAGCCCGTTAATTAATAACTCCTGCTCCTTAGCCGGCAGTGCCGAAGCAGCCCCGTGGTGCTCCACGTTCCGAGAGGGCTCACATGGGCAAAGAGGGAGCCTGCGTGGTGGCACACAAATCACTTGTCCCCCAGCAGCAGCTTTGGTGACACCCTGTTCCCTGCCCTCGTTAAAACCGGGAGGTGTCAGGCAGGAGGCGATGCGCTCTCCCTCTGGCTCTGGAGCGACGGGGAGGTCCCTTGCCACCTCGCCCCGGGGCTTGGGCTGTCTTTGGGCTGCAGGACACAGGACGGTGGGGTGAGCAGCTGCCCTGCCCCAAGGACAGCTCCTGGAAACTGCGACCCAGCAAGTACAGCGGCTGTCCCAGCTTTGGAGAGGACTTGGGTGAGAGAGAGCCCCAGGTCCTCCAGCGAGGACTGTCCCCAAGCGACCGCAGGGAGCATGGAACCAGCCACACGTTCCCACTGCCGCTGTCCGTGCTCCCCCGCCACCTCAACAGCCCTGAGCCCTGCGTACACTCGTTCTGCTTCCTTGCTTTTGGCACAAGACTAAAAACAACCCTTCCTTGCTCAGCCCAAGCTGGATGTCCCCTCTGCCCAGCCCTGCTTTACAATGAACTTCCCCTCCATCTTGTCCTACAAGTCCCAACTTCCTCTTCAAATGTGCTCTAAAAAGTGAAAATCGTAGTCCAGCACTCTTCCCCCACAGAGAAATACGCCCCGCTTCTAACAAGAAACCACAGAGTTTTGTACCTCGACATCCCCCCATGCCCTCCTGCTGCTGGTACCTCAGCATCACTGGTGGGGTCCCCCCGGCACCACTGACCACTTGCCTGCATGGCCCCACGCTCCCCTCCGGGAGCAGCCGGACACCGCTTCTCCCTCCCCTCCGCCCCGCGAGGAGCCACCAACGCTGCGTGGGTGCCCTCGCTTCGCGCCGTCCCCAGAGGCACGCGGCTGGCGCTCGCCGGGCCGCCCCCACTCTGGACATTGGGGTTCACGCCCCAAATCCTGGGAAGGTTTTCCCGGAGCGCCCAGGAGAAAACCATCCTCTCCTGGCAGGTCACCATTTGCAGCAAAATCCTACCCCATGGCAGGGCCCAGGGGACGGGCCAGCCCCGCCGGGCGATCCTGCGGGAGCAGGTACTGCTCCAGCGGCAGACGTGCCACCGAGGCTGGGGACATTCGAAAGCCAGATCCGGACTCCACACCTGGGCTGTGTCCACATATGGGACAGAAAGGCAGGGCGCCTGCCGGCTGCGGTCCCGGCTGCCCCGCG